CCTTTAATTTACTTAATGCCGAAATTTTTCAGAATATTATATATATATATATATATATATATATATATATATATATCTATATATTAGATGGAGCGGTATTCTTAAATACCGATTTTTTGGAGTCTCGTATCCTTTACAAGGTAGAGCCCAATAATCATATGAGTACATATTGTCTTAGAGCATAAAAAACATAAATTCCGGTACTCTTATAATAAAAAAAGTGTTTAATTTAATGTGAATTATAAATAAATATATTTTTTATATATATAAGCATAAATATATAGTGAGACTTATTAAATTTTACACATTATACACAAGAATTTGATTAAAAAATTAATTTATAGTAAGTGTGACTTATTACAATGCATACATAACTTATAAAATAATTAATATAATTTATCTGAGATGCAAACGTCCAACTATTTTAATTAAAACTACTTATCAATTATTAATAATAATCAAAAATTTGGTTTCGATTAAAATTTGAGAGTACAAAAATTACATCTAACTGGTAACTAATATATTTACAAGCGATACTCATATTTTTTAATTTATGGCACGATTGTAATAATACATCGAATAATAAATTTTAATAATATATATAATCTGAGAAGTCGAATATAAAAAAAGTAATAAATAAAAAAATATTGTTGTAAGTAAACTTAATAATATATAAAGTAAGTAGTACTTATTGTATTTTATGTATTTAGTTAGTTAGAATCTATGCAGTGGCGTCGGAACCAAATTTTTGATGGGTGGGCTCGTTTTTTTTTTTTTTTTGATAGACAGCCAGTGGGCTCGTTTTTTTCTTTTTAGAGATATTAGTCCACATAATTTTTTCAAATTGATGGGTGGGCTGAGCCCCCCCATCAAAATTCATGGGTGGGCTCAAGCCCACACAGCCCACACGGTTCCGACGCCACTGAATCTATGTAATAGAATCACAATGCATCACCTAGTTTTAAATATAATTTATAAATAATTATATATATTTATATATATATATATATATATATATATATATATATACGAGTATAACAAATGTATTCTGAGTGGATAAATAGATATTCATTAGACGATCGTTGGAGGGTAGAAGACAGTATATCGAACGACTTGTAACGGATAACACATAATGCTAATTTAGGTTTCCATATATTAAATTTTAAATTATAACACACTGATGATGAGACAAACCTAGTCTCGAAACGTTTGTGAAAATTATTATTTAATAAATTAGTGCACAAAAGAGTGTTGTTTGTTCATATTTCCAAAATAATATATATATATATATATATATATATATATATAATCATTTAAATTTTTGAATATTTCAATATAAGAATTATAGTTAAAGAACATTTTGCACGATTTATAAAAAAAGACTATCTAAAGTTTATTGATTTAGTAATACGAGTTGTGTTAGGGTGGTCCTTAATATGGATATTTTTCGAAATTTTTTTGCTGCCAGGATCTCAAATGCTTCCAAATTTATAAAAGAAAATTCTCTGGAAGTTTTAACTCTTAATATTGACTTTAAGATAGTCCGTACTCCAACCAAAGCTTCTTATGGGTAAAATTCAATTTGATTTTTTAGAATTTTATAACTTAGCGACAAGTGAATCAAAATTTTGAGAATAACATTGTATTTGCTTATTTTGACAATATATAAAAAATTGCAATAAAAATTTGATTTATTTTTTAAAATAAGTATTTACCTAGGAAGAAAAACCAAAAAAATTTGGTTGGAGTGCGGACTATCTTAAAGTTATAATATTAAAAGCTAAAACTTTCATAGGATTTTGTTTTATCAATTTGGAAGCATTTAAACCCCTGGGAGCAAAGAAATTTAAAAACATCCATATTAAGGACCACCCTGATATATATTTATATATTTATTTGTAATAAGATATTTGATAATATTAAAAATAATCTTCAATACACATTTTAACTTCAAACATCAAATTTTAGAGGCTAATTCTTGGATAAAATTAAAATGCTATGTTACGGGTCTATATTCGTATCAATTGGTAGTCAGGAACTACTAAAAATCTGTATTTTTGTGTTTGATCAGGCGTTTTACACATAAAACCTAACTTCACATATGTGTTAAGAATGAGACAACATGGGGTTCGTTCCATCCGAGCCAATCTGACAGTCCGAAACTGTTTCAAACTAGACCAAACTCTTTCTGATTTTTTCATGGCAGTTGGCAATGGTTTGGTTTGGATACATCCAACGCGTTTCGAACTCAGAGCTCACTCGATAATAATAATAATTATTATTTTAATACATAAATATTAGTTTAATATATATATATATATATATATATATATATTAAACATATTCTAATAAAAATATAACTTAATTATATCAATGAATTTGCTTTTTAATATTTCCTAGTTATATATCGTTATGTCGCTTTAATATAATATTCTACAATGTTTGGACTCCTGTAAATTCATTAAATTTTTAATGTTCTATTTGGAATTAAATAAAAGTATATTTTAATCGTATTAAATTGCGGAGTTTTTGTTTGTACCGGGTACAAACACAAAATGATAGTTTCAAACTCATCGGACTGCTTGATGGAACGCATTACTGACAGTCCGCAACAGTTTGGAATCCGAAATTTTGGATGGAACAGAAAAAAGTGTTCTGCGCATGCGCGGACAGTTTCGGACTGTCAGATTGGCTCGGATGGAACGAACTCATGAACTTGCCCTTATGATAAAATTTTTATTTGAAACTTGGAGGTTAGGTTTTATGTGTAAAACGCTGGAACGCTCGCAAATATGTAGATTTTTAACAAATCGTGACTACCAATTGATACGAATATAGACCCATTAACATAGCATTTTCTTTTTCTTTTTTTTTAGCATAGCAACTTATACGAATATAGACCTGTAGAATAGCCTTACCATAACATTTCTGTATTATCCGAGAATTGAACCCTTAAAACGATAAAATTATATTATAGTATAGCGGGGTTCAAAGGTCCGCAAGTTAAAAGGTCTACCACCGATATTTCAATAACAAGTAAAGTTAAAAATTTTTCACCAAAAATATTTAAAGGGCAAAAGATGTATAACCAGCCATAACCTTGATTCTTACAACTTCGCTATCAGAAAATAAACAGCAAATGTTTAAAAATCCAAAACAAAAGTTTTTTCCCCTTGTTAGTCTTTTTGGTCGTGAGCACTGTTGTTTAGTTTACGAGACCTCAATATAATTTTTAAGAATACGTTATTTAATTGTTTTGTAACACATATTGTTATTTTTAAGTTAGATTCAACAGTTTTTCATATAACCTCTATAAAAGCTTGCACCTGGGTGGGGTAAAAAGGACCAACTGAACCTTTACTCTTGCAAAGGTGTAAACAATTAAAAAAGTAAAAAGTTAGCAAAAGCAATTTTACAAGAGATAAATTAAATAAATAGTTATTCCAACTCTGCTGATGAGTATTTCTAAACAAAACACTAGATCAAGGTTATATACAGTGTTATCTCAGGAAAAAATGTACCCATGAAATTTACATTTTGCATTGGTTGAATATTGTAGCTATTATTTCGTAAAATCCCTTTAAAATTAAAAATTAGACATTGGACCTGTTTGGCCCCTGGTTGTACATGTTACCCAGCCTATGGAGTAAAAAAGACCAGGTTACAATTTTTTGAAAAACAGCAAAAAAATACATTTCTACACTGATGAATTAGCTGGTAGTTTTAATGAGCATGGTCAGATAGTTGTTTGTTTGATCTGTGTTATAATGTAGATTGGACAAGATTTTTTCTTAAAGTCAAATTCGACCTTTGTGCCCCGCTCTACTCTATAATTTCAATTATATATATTAAAATTATCAAATATCCTATTACCATTTTAAAAGTTGAAAAATCTATCAATCTATCTATTTATTGTCGAGAAATTGTTTGCAAAAAGCTATCCATATGAATTTATCAAAAACTTTTATACAATTAAATATTGAGATCTATTAAGGAAATATTATTAATATTAATTTAAATATGTATAAGTTTTTAATATATATACATGTTATTAATACTAGAATTAAGAGTATGATAGAAAAATTGAGCTAACTATGTAATTTTGTGTGTAATACTTTATATACAGAATTAAAATTAATAAAAATTAAGTAATACTAGAATTATATTGTAATTGTTGCTACTTAAAATAATAAATACTATATAAATATAAACGTACACATAGTAAGTGTTTTTGTTATTAAATCTAGTTTTAATGGTGACTAGGAAAAATTCCTATAAATTTTACAATTAAGTAATATATTTAATTTAAAAAGATGTTTGCAATCGATTGATAATATTGTAAGACTTGAATACATTTATACAACCAAAGAAAATCATACCAGTAAAAAACAAAAGTTAAAATAACGTAGCACAGAAGAAAGTCGTTACGTTGTTGATGGTTACGTTATTAATACGTTTAGTTGTAACCTTTAATCGGCTTGAACGTAGATGCTTCGGTTTTGTTCTTTACGTGGCAGCTACGTCACAAGGTTTCATAGATTGATCATACAAAATAGACGGTTTTAAGATTCATACGTTTTAACTATATTTTGTTTAATTGGTTATAAAACAAATTTATTTGAATAGTAATTTAGTTATATTAAGACTTCAGCAGAAAATAAAATGTATCGTCTAATGATGTTACAATAGTAGCAATCGATTATAAACACATGATATAATATATATTAATATATATATATATATATATATATATAATATATAAATACATATATTAATATATATAATTCAAAAAGTATATATATATATATAATCACTATCAATGTCTACAATAAATTTAGTCATTACATATTTTATATTTAAAGCTATGAATTAAATTAATTTAAAACTTAATTAAAATTTATAATATAGACAATGATAATAATTACATACAAATATATATATATATATATATATATATATATATTTTATATATATATATATATATATATATATATATATTCTTAATAGAGTCCCGGAGGAGGGTGCTTCCGCCTCTTACCTGCCCCTTCGCTAGGCAGCAAGTGCTCCCTCAAAGCAAGTTCATAAGCCATTTGAAGTGAAACATCTCTGGGCTCATAAGACGATTGCATGACACGTCTGTCATGTTGGGCAGTACGGCCATTAGGTGTCACCAACGTTGCATAAGGCTGCAGTTTGCGTCTCCGCTGTTGGTTTTTGTGCCACCTGAATAAGAAAATAATTGATAAAAACCAGTGCAGAAAATAATAATTTATAAAAGTTTTAAAATTTAAAATTCAAAAGACAAATATTTCATTTCTAAAAAAGCACGAATGCTTGCCATGTCGTCCGAACCTAACACAACGCTTTTCCATACATTTTTACTAGTTTTTATTAGGTTTGGATATGCATGGTAAGCGTTACTTCAATATTTTATTAAACAAATGTTTCTAATTTTAGTTTTATTGTTATGAACAGAACTAGGTGTAGCTTTTGTACAATGATTATAAAGAAACGGCCCGACCGATCTTTACCGAAAACTAACCACTTACTGATAACTTTCGTTAACTGTTTTTGAATTTTGAAAATCTGTTCAAGAGTTTTTACAAAAATGTCGTTAGAATATATTCTGATAAAGCAATATTAAAATAATTCAATAATCTTCCCGGGTGTCATTTATTTCCTCTACCTGTCCATTTGTAGTTCATGCTGCACCACACTGCTGTCCTTCCTCTCGCATCCCGTGATGTTCTTCCACTGTACAGCAGGTGCTGCTCCCAACCTGGCACAAGACCTGGCATATGCCATAAAAGCTGCACAATGACAACCAACAATAACAGTGGACATCTTAAAATCCCTGTCACTCTGCTGTCTACCCACATGCCAATCATTCACATCACTGTTCTTCCTGGATCTCATAAAATCCCTCAAAATATCTCCACTTGTAAATATACCACCATGGGTTGTAACGCGTTTGGTGACGATGTCATCATCGTTGGTAAACAGACGTCTGTTGACAGTCCTGACAGTGGAGCTGTCGTCGGTGAGTAGTTTGAAACTGTTTTTGAGTATTGACTCAGTCAATATTGTTCTGTCACTTGTACCTTGGTTAATGGTGAATGGTGATGTTGGTGTGCTGATTTCTTCGTCGGAGATGCTGAAGTTGTCGTCGGATGAAGGGTTGTCCAGATGGGATCGAGTTACTCTGCTGAGTTCAAGGGTGTGAGAGTCTAGGCGGGCTTGGCACTCGCAGACGTCTTGGGTGCAGGCGGAGATGAAGTTCTGGGGATTCAGACGGCTGTCGCAACCTCCAAATAACTAGGAAAAAAACAGAAACATATATGTTGCCACCTACTGCAGTATTTTTACTTTTTGCATCATTTTCCCTCACCTCGCTATCCTTTAACAATCTGCACTGCAAATTAGCCTGCTTCCTCATCCTCTTGTCACATTTAAAATCCTGATACCAAAAGTAATCATTTGACAAATCTTGCTTGGATTTATTCTTACCATTCCCCTGTTGTTTATTTTTCTTCTGCTTATTCACAGAAGTCTTCTTCCCTTGCTGAGGCTTTTGTGGAAACCGAGGAATCGACGAACAAGCTTTTTTGCCGCCAACTCGCCAGGATTCGGCAAACTTGTGGATGTCTATCTCTTGAGCGGGCTGAGAATCGATGGACGATTCTGGGGAAAAGGTAGAAAGAAATATAGTATATT